ATGTGGGCGAGCATCAGGGCCACATCACGGTCGCATCGCTCACTCTGAGTCAGCTTCGTCTTCCTCACCTGTCCCATGTCTCGTTTCCTCTGCAGGTAAACCGTCTGTCTGCTCCTGCTGTAACCCACGGAGACGGGACGACGATCACCGGGTCACAGAGGTCAGTGGAAGGTCACGAACAGTCACAGGAACAATCTTTAAAAATCACGTTTCCTACTTTACGAGCGAATAATTAAAACGAGTGAATCTCTCAGTCTGAGTTTCAAACATTCTGTTTTATTACTGCCTCTAAAAACAAGCTGCACATGCAGCACTGTGCAAAAGTCTTGAACCAACCCTCATTTCTTTATGTTTTGCCAGTAAAATCTGAAGTTTCACTGAAACATGAACATAAATATTTGGCAGCTTTTGTCTTCAGCACAGCTGAACGCTGAGATTCAGAGTCACAGGTCTGTGCTGAGCGACGTGCAGGGAAGCCAAATGTAGAGACCGCACACATGAACCTGCAGCATGTTAGTTTGTCAGATCAGGTTTTTTACTCTTTGTATCTCTGCAGGAAGACTCTTTGCATTATTCCAGCCTGAAGCATCCAGACAAGCCCCGCCCCACCACCAGGAGAGGAACCAGATTGGCTGAAGAGAAGGTCCTGTACTCAACAGTGAACATGTGCAAGAACGCATCACATGACCACAGATAGAAGCACTTTAAATGAGCGTAAATGATTTTTTTTAAATTAATAAAACTGTGAAAATATGTGATGAGTAGATTTGTTTTGTGTAAACAGATAAGATTTATTTTTCAGTGAGCAGAAAAACTTAAGAACCTTTAAATGTTAAATATCCAGAAAGTTGCAATGAAAATAAAATGTTTGTAAAACATTTCTGTTAATAATAAAGTAACATAAATGTAAATGCTGCCACAGCAGCGCACTTTCAAAAAAGAATTACTAAAGAAAATCTGTTTTTACCCGTATATGTGTGAATATCGGGTCAGTTTTGAATCTTTACGTCTGTGAGTTGTTTTATTGCTGTGTTTAAACACGTGTCTGAATATTGCTGCTGCGCTGCTTCCACACTTTGTTTGTCTTTTACTAATAAACTGATTCTGACACCACCATCTGTCCTGACCCTGTTTACAAACACGGCAGCCGGTCCAGATGTGACGCTGCACATGTGGACGCCTGTAAACGAGTCCTCGCTGTAACATGTAGAGACTCCGTTACCCAGCTGTGCTGAAGCAGAGAGTGAAACATGAAAACTGACTGACAGCATTTTAACAGCTTGTGTTGCAGGTGAAACTAAGCTGATTCAAAGCTTCGCGTCACACGGCCGTACAGTCAGACTCTCAGAGTCCGTGCTCCGCTCTCGCTGCAGGTCTGCTGATGACGGAGTAGATGACGCTGTGGTGGCTCTGCTCCGGCGGACTCCTGCTGGGTCTCTCTCTCCAGTTCTGTCGGCCCAGAGAGGCGTAGTGGATCGTCTCCCCACAGAGGGGCGGGGTCTCCGAGTCCTCGCCCTCTGCAGACAGACACACCGTTATAATCCCTCATAGACTGACGTGAGGACGTCGAACACCCGGTGAGGTTACCTGTCGGCACGCTGGACGCCGTCCACGGCTGCAGCTCTGTGTCTTCACGTGTTGGTGATGATGGAGAGATGAAGAGTGCAGCATCATCAGAAAACACGCTGACTCCGATACTGGATTCTGTTACCATAGCAACATCCATATTTGTGCATGTGCGGATTCATGTTTAAAAGTTTTGTTTATCTGAAGCTGCAAAACACGCTTCAAACGGCATGAAATATAATAAACATGTCGACTTTTCACTGAACAATAAATAATAATTAAAATACTGATACATGAAAAAAGTTCAGTATGAAAAACTGTGAATAATCTGAAGATATTAAATATAAATATTTTTAATCAAATGTTCTATATAAATAAATGGATTCATTAAAAAACCTTTGATGATAAAAACTTTCTCATTTCCCCCAAATCATAGTTTCTTCTGTTTTTATCACAACATTTAAAATCATTTACTCTGAATTCACTCAAACTCGGTGTAATCCCAGTCTGTGCCAGGAGGTGGCGCAGCGTGTCACAGTCTCAGGCAGGGTCACTTCTACCAGCATCCATCTGCACACCCTGACCTGTGTCGGCCAATTATTTAAACCCAGGAACTTCAATCCAAACGTTTCCAGTTCAAATGAAGAGAAATACAAACGCTCGCCTGCAGCTCTGCGCTTCTTCCTCCTGCACTTCATGCTGGTCAGCAACACACAGACAGCAGCTAAGAAGACGATCATCAACCCCACACCGACCACAGCAACCAGCAGCAGAACTGAGAGCGCACACAACATCTGGTCCGTGAACACGTGACACATCTGGCAGAAAACTACAAACGTGATTTATAAGCGGACTGACCGTTCTCAGGTCTCGTGCTCTTCTTCTTTATTTCTCCCACTTCTAATAAACAGAAGGAGAGGACGCACACACTGGTCACACACTCACAGCGTTTAAATGTCAAAGATCGTGTGAAAGTTTGCACCCAAATAATCACACTGAATAAAACTTAATCTGAGGATTCAGATTTTCCTCTGTGGTCGATCGTATTTCACACACAACTAAATAAAGACAACATTTGCACGCACAGACAGATTTAAGTATGACGTCGATCCATTTATAGCAGCACCTGGGACGCGTTTGTTAAATCCATGTAAGGTCTGATTG